TGAAGAGCACTAATTTCATCAATCATAGCATGTCTCCATCCAGAATGTGAAAGTGCTTCACTTGTAGTCTTAAGAATAGACTCAAAAGAACAAAAAAAAAAAAAAAAAGACATGCAAAATATGATGGTAACTAATATTAACTGAATACATTTTTTTTTAAACATCTACTTTATTGATTTTATTCATATTAATTACTTCCAGTATCCTAGTATGTTTATGACTCATATGTATAAACAAAAAGTAGAAAATCACTTGTACGTATTTTGTTTACCCTTCTTGTTCACTGTGATTATTATGCCCTCGCTGAGTTTGTGCGACTCACCCCTCCTTTATTTTTCCATCCAGATCATCAGGTAGCTTAATAGAAAGTTGCTAAGAGTCGCAATTCAACTTATAGCTTTATTTGGATTATCTACCCTTAAATAATTATCTGTGGTTTATTTTGGAGCTCTGAGCATTCTACAACTATGGAAAGTTATTAGCGACATCATTTAGATTGTTTTAAGATTCTAATGTCTGGATTATATATTTTGTTGTTCATGTTGTTGTCTGGTTTTGTATATGCTGTATATTATGTTTGATTTGTTTTGCAATGTTAGAAAAATAAATGAAACTGTCAAAATTTCAGTAAAATTTGGAATATGAAATTGTTGGAATTTTATTTTGTTTTATGGGTTTTTTTGTGGAAGATAAACTTGAAAGGTTAAAGGTATTTGAGTTACCTTAGCCTGTGCGGCGGTCATGGCTCATATTTGGGTCGTGACATCAACTTTAAATAAGTGAATTTCTTGTTGCTTTCTTTTATTTTTTTATTTATTTTTTGGTAAATTCTTTTACTTGTAAATTTACTAAATTGTCAACTATCTTAACTATTTCAAGTTTAGTTTTTGTTTTCTGTCATTCACTTTATTCAAGATCAACTGTATCATTAAACTAACATGTTACAGCTATCGTTAAGCTGCTAGGCCCCAAGAAAACCTGGTTGACTAGCTTTCTGCTGATCCAATTGTTGGCATATGGAATTGAAACTTGCAAAGTTATACGCTATCTGCAATTTGGTGTATTATTATATTATTTCACAAAAAGTGGTCAACCACCTGAAACCAGACACTAGGAATTTTGAAGAACAAAACCGCTGCTAGTAAGCTTGTGAGTCAGGAGAACAAAAACCCGCGGATTCCATGGTTTTTCTTCCTCCTACAATTCTTTTAAATTTAAAAATAGGAGATGGCAATTCTCCTTATGTGTTCCACTATATATATCTCACAGAAACGAACCCATTTCTGCACAATGAAAAAGAAAAGTACTTGTGTATTTGTGTAAGTAATTACTAATCAAGAATTCAATCAAACAGTTTCGAAGCAAAGAAAATGGATTCAAGTACTGCTGGAAAGGTCATACGCTGCAAAGGTATTCTACTTCAATTGTACCTGTTGCATTGGTTTCATTTTATTTTGTATTGTTTTTGTTTCTCTTCTTCTTGTCACTTGCATAATTGTTCCATCCATTTCTTTTCCGCATTGCATACCTTTTTCACATGTTATCGTTACTACTTTATTAGGCATGCGTTTGGACATTGGGAAACACAGTAAAATAAATTACAAAATATCCTGTCAAACTATGTTTTCTTTATATATTTGCTCAGTTGTTCCTGTTAACCCATGCAAATACCATTGGCTACAGAATCTAGTTATCAGAATTAAAGTTCAAAGGAAAACCTGCTGATACCATCAAACTTGGTTTCTAATCTTCACCATTCATATGAGGTTAAATGGTCAAAATTGGTTTCTTTCACCTCTCATAATAAGATACTACTCTCACGAAAATGATTAAGATTAGATGTCACATGATTATTTAAAATAGTCACATGATTTGAACTTATAATCTTAACCATACACAAATGTTACCGCACCTTAGCTGCGGTGGCATGGGAAGCAGGAAAGCCGCTGGTGATGGAGGAAGTGGAGGTAGCTCCACCACAGGCAAATGAGGTTCGTATCAAGATATTGTTCACCTCACTCTGCCACACTGATGTCTACTTCTGGGAAGCTAAGGTAATTGATATTGTTTCTATATTCAGTGATGCCATTACTTTTCTAAACTATAACAGAACAAATGCTGAGATTGTTAAATTGAATATTATACAGGGACAAACACCCTTATTTCCACGCATATTTGGTCATGAAGCAGGCGGGTATGCACAGTTTCCATCTTGTTTCTTAATCTGTATGTTGATTGGTTATGTATCTTATGTTTTCAACCTTTCTTTTGTGTGTGTGTGTGTGTGTGTGTGTGATCTCAGAATTGTGGAAAGTGTTGGTGAGGGTGTGATGGATGTGAAGGCTGGGGATCATGTGCTTCCAGTGTTCACAGGGGAATGCAAAGAGTGTGAGCATTGCAAATCAGAGGAAAGTAACATGTGTGACCTCTTAAGGATTAATACTGACCGTGGAGTGATGCTCAATGATGGCCACTCAAGGTTTTCAATTAATGGAAAACCAATATACCATTTTGTTGGAACCTCCACTTTCAGTGAATACACCGTTGTTCATGTTGGCTGTGTTGCCAAGATCAACCCCGCTGCCCCACTTGACAAAGTTTGTATTCTCAGCTGTGGAATCTCAACAGGTTACAATACATTCCATTCTTCCCTTTTAATCAATTCAACTGTATAGTTTCTCTTTCAATAAACAATATTAATCATCTTAATATTGAAGGTCTTGGTGCTACCTTGAATGTTGCAAAACCAAGCAAAGGTTCATCAGTTGCTATATTTGGATTGGGAGCTGTGGGACTCGCTGTGAGTTGTCTCTCTTCCCAAATAAAAGGAAACTTTTTGTGCTTCTATTACTGCATCTTTGATATAACTGTTTTTTTTTGCTTTCACAATTTATGCAGGCTGCTGAGGGAGCTAGACTTGCTGGTGCTTCCAGGATTATTGGGGTTGACTTGAATTCTAAGAGATTTATTGAATGTGAGAGAAACAGTTGAAAAAACCTCTACAAGCACCCTAATCATCCTTCCAAATTGATGACCCTGATACATCAAAGATATTAAATAACTGTGCACTAATTCTGTTCTGAGTGTGCTTATTCTTGTCTACAGCTAAGAAGTTTGGAGTTACTGAGTTTGTGAATCCAAAGGATTATGACAAGCCCGTTCAAGAGGTTAGTTACGTAATAATATAAACTGACTAGTCATGAAATTAGAGATATCTTTTACACTTAATTGAATCTCTTCAATTCATTTCAGGTGATTGTTGCGTTGACTGGCGGGGGAGTTGACCGAAGTGTTGAGTGTACTGGAAGTATCAGTGCTATGATCTCTGCATTCGAATGCGTGCATGATGTAATGTTCCTTTATGCTTCTTTCTTGTCGTTCAAGTTTCCATAATCTTAACTATAGTGTATCCGTGCATGTCTTCAAATGCTGAATTCTCATTTCTTATTGTGACTTCCTCTGTATAACATTATAGGGATGGGGTGTTGCTGTACTTGTTGGTGTGCCAAATAAAGATGATGCTTTCAAAACCCATCCAATTAATGTATTGAACGAAAAGACTCTAAAGGGTACTTTCTTTGGTAACTATAAACCACGGTCTGACCTCCCATCAGTGGTGGAGATGTACATGAACAAGGTTAGTTGATTTCATCATCGATGAGAAATACTGTTTGAATTTTGGATTATTGACTCACTTTTATTTTATATGCATCCATCCACACATTATTTGTCGAGACTCACATTTTTTTCTTCTGACTTATTTGGTATCAACCCTTTCTCACTGCTCATCATTGGAAACTCATTGTTTTGCTTCTCAATTGTTTCAAATGTGACAGGAACTTGAACTGGAGAAATTCATAACCCATGAAGTGCCTTTCTCAGAAATCAACAAAGCCTTCGAATACATGCTTAAAGGGGAGAGCCTGCGTTGTATAATCCGCATGAGTGCATAGAATTTCTTTGAATTAATCACATTGGGTGTCGGAAAATAAAATAAAATATATATGTAGCTGTGGTCACTATAACAAAACAATGTTCATTTTTTGCTTTAAATTTCGTAGAGAAGTTATTGTATTCCGTCCAAATCGCATGTGTTTGTACAGTACAAAACAAGATGCTCATGTACTTCTGTGTTTTTATATATAAATATCATATACTTCATCGTTGAGTGGGATTGACGTTTGAAATCTTTATGTTGTGAAAGTCTACTAAAAATTTCATCAAATCATATTCTTACCTGTAATGAGAAGAAAACTGCTTTCTTGTGCTAATATTATTGCAGAATTGGATACATAATTTTAAGTAAATCAAAATCTTGTGAGAAAAGTGAACGAAAGATAAAAGTAATGCAACTTTTGAAGTCTGTGAGATCTAGAAGGATCCAATAATAAGAGGCTAAAGCCTCTTCCAGTGGCCAATGCATGTCCAGATGTTGGGGCCTTTTCCCATTGCCAAAGCAGCAACATTTCAGACCATTATAGATGCGGGATTGAGAGTCTAGATTCTTCTTGGTTTGTGACCCGTGACTTTGGGCTCTAAGATATTTGCTAGCAGACAACCAAGGCCTTCTGAGTACCTTACTTGCTACCTTCCAAATAAAACCTTGAATCACTCACAGAGTAGTAAATACAAGTAGATAAAACAACTCAATTTTTACAAAATAAGGGTAGGCCCCCCCAAAAAATAATATTTTCAACCAAAATAATGTCATCGTAGGAGAGATTCTTTCATGAATAGAGTTTATCACGTGACTCTTAATCAAACCGTCTATATTACGCAACTAGTCCTACATAGAATAGAATTCCATGTCCCTTTAGAAGCCCAAAGTAAAATATTGATTCATTATACACAAATAAGATCAGAAGAAGAAAAGGAACCGTATAATTCTGCTTCTTGACTTTATTGCCTCAATTTTCTATATACTTTTAACTATCTCCTCCCTTTTCACTTCTCCCCTATAAGATAAACCAGACTCATATACTAACCCCAAACACTCAATAATGGTCCCTAAGATCTTCTTGCTTTTTCTCCTCTTTCTAGCACACCCTCATCCATATGCATTTGTAAATGGAGATACCACTTTGATCAAAAGCACTTGCAAGAACACTAAGTACTACAATCTCTGCTTCTCTTCCCTCAAATCTGATCCTAGCAGCCCAAACGCTGACCCAAAGGGCCTAGCTGTGATCATGGTTGGCATTGGAATGACCAATGCTACCTCCACTTCTTCATACTTGTCTTCTAAGTTGATTAGCCCTACCAACAACACAACCTTGAAAAGGGTCCTCAAGGAGTGTGCAGATAAGTACACATATGCTGGTGATGCCCTCCAAGCTTCTCTGCAGGATTTGGCTAATGAGGCATATGACTATGCTTACATGCACATCACTGCAGCCAAAGATTACCCAAATGCTTGTCACAACGCATTCAAACGGTACCCCGGTTTGGTTTACCCTCCTGAACTTGCTCGTAGAGAAGATGGTTTGAAGCATATATGTGATGTGGCACTGGGGATTATTGATAATCTCGATTGGTAGGTGCATGCATTTACATATCACTTCCTCTTTGTAATGTAAACCATATTCTCTAGTGTTAATTTTTCCACTATAAATATCCTTTTATGTTCTTAGGTATCATATATGGGATAAAGTTTAGTGTTCTTCTTAATGCCATAGTTTTTCCATTACATTTTCTTTTTAGTTTCCTCCACCAATCCATGTGCCATATCACTTTTATGAGGATGGATTGAGCTCTCCCAATTAAGTTTTTAACACAATTTTATATATATAGGATTGCAACTCAAAACTATTGCTTAAACTGAGACATCTCATACTAGTTGATCCACTTATGATAATTTTGCCATTACCTACATCTAAATTTGAGAGCTGTGCATAATAATTAATAATCAAGGCATATTTAAGGGCAGGTTAATTTGCATGTTTATCTAGCCCTGCCCCACTTGTTTGGCTGGAGCTAGTTAGTGCTGGGAAAAGGTAGATCATAAGCATTGTGCAAATAATTTATCTCCCGATAATGAAAGTGTGTGAATTATTTGGGAGATCACTAATGAGTGCACACGTCGTAGTCATGTACAGAAATTAAGAAAAAGGCTCAATGATTGTTTCAAATTACTGTATCACGATAGATGTCTCGAAGTACTGTCCTTATTCTTCTGAAAAGATCCTTAAAATATTGAATGAAAGATAAAAAAAATAAAAAAATATATTGATTGAAAGATGAGTAAATACCCTTGTGTGTCCCTAACAAAAAATACGGTCTCCATTTTCGTCCTTTACAAAAATAAATTAGTCAGTTAGTCCCTAACAAATTTAAAGTAGACCCATTTTAGACCTTTTGAGAGACTAATATGGATCTTTTTTGAATTTGTGAGGGACCACGATTTCAACTAAATGGGTCCACTTTGAATTTGTTAGGGACTAACTGACTAATTTATTTTTGTAATGAACTAAAGTGGGGACCGTGTTTTTTGTTAGGGACAAAAAAGAGTATTTACTCTTGAAAGATATAGTTCATTAAGATGATAATTCACTTATGCTTGGTGTCCTTTTACTCTCTAACCAATTTACAAGATACGATCTCCAAATATATATATATATATATATATATATATATATATATATATATATATGGGTCAGGATCATTTTACAAGTTACACTCTCAATCTTGTCCGTTGATTCTACTTATATCTAAGGGTTCTAATTTTTTAGTAATGTGAGCCATTGGATACAAGTGGATCAATGGTCAAGATTGAGTGTAAGACTTCTAACTCTTACACCGGTGTAAGAATATCTTGCCCCTATATATATATATATATATATATATATATATATATATGCGAAAAATCCAAAATTCAGTCACTGGACTGTCAAGTGAGTGAATTTTGACTATATTCTCCCGCGAGAATATAGTGCAAAAACATTACAATGGTGTTCTGTAGGTGTTCTCCCAGGAGAATATAGGCAAAAAAAATTGTGCACTATATTCTATAGTGCACTGGACCTAATTTACATCAAGTCACTTGATACTCACTAAACCCATATATATATATATATATATATATATATATATATATAAGGGCAGGTTATATTTACAAACTTTTTTGTTTACAAACTACACTATCTTCTCCCGGGAGAACACTAGTTACACTATCTTCTGCCGAGGAAAGATAGTGTAATTTGTAAAAATTTGAATAAAAAGTTTGTAAACGGATCTTTCCCTATATATATATATATATATATATATATATATATATATAGGTAAAATCATTTCTATAGCCGCTTTACGTACAACAACGACAGGTATAATGACCCTAACTGGTAAATCTTAGTTAGAGATTTAATTTAAGGATTTAAATGCCATAATTAGATTCAGTGAGCGATTTCGAGTATTTTGACTGTAATCATGACTATGTTATGAACAGTGCGTTCTGCCGGAGAATTTACAGTTTTGTGAATTAACCGGTAGAGCTTAAAATGAGCAAAATAATTTTAGGAACATAATTTGAAAATTCTGATGACAAATATGAGTTCAGAACGAAAAATTGTATAGTCTGGCACTTTCCGTGAAAATCTCGTGAATAGTGTTTCTACCGGGTATTTTGTACTGCTGTTTAAGCAACCGGTAGAGTCCAGAAATAAATAATTGATGAAATAAGAATAAGAAAGTCCAATATATGCCAAGCAAGTCAATATAGGCCCAAGAAAATGATAAGTTTATAAGTGTTAAGTTTCAGAATTAAATAAAGTACAGTTAGTGATTCACAGTGCATTTCGTTAAAAACGGTGCAAAAACCATACTGTGAATTATGAATATTGTTCCTTAGGAAATAAAAATTAATTTAAATAACTTTAGAAAAATAAAAATATATCCGTAGCTTTAAGTTAAGTTTCCGGTAAATTTAAGTGAAATACGCGATAGAAAAACATCCGACAAAAGGGCCACATGTGCCTAAATAGCTTGGCCACTTAAATGAATCACTATTCATTGCAAAAATTTCTCCTTCTCTCTTGAAGAGCCGAGCTTCAGCCATGGAAAAGGGGGGGTTAGGGTTTTGCTTGTTTTGTTGATTTCTTCTTGAATTCTCAACCAAATCTTATGACCCACCACTTGAAATTGATTAGGAACCACTCAAGGAATCCATTGCACCTATCCATTTGAGCTATAGTTGAGTGTGTGAAGAGTTATTCCTCCTCTTATTTTCGGATCACTATTCATAGGAGGAGAAAAAGTGGGTTTTTGATGGAGCTTTGCTTGGAGGTTATTCTCTAGGCTTTGTACAAGTGATTAGAGGTAAGAAACCTCTATTTCCATGATATTATTTTGATGATTTAAGTTATGAAATTGATGAGCATATTTTGTTGGGAAATAATTGATGTTAGAATGTGAAATTTATGATGGATTATTGTTGTTTAGGAAGTTATAGTGTTGAGTAAGCATCCACATGTGATATAAAAATTTAAAAGTCCTATTGCATATTCCTCCTAGGTTTCGGCCATCATGGAGTGAGTAGGAGTTATTGTCGAAAAAATTATATTATGTATTGTGAAGGTATAGTGTGTTGGAAATGAGTGAAAATGGATGAGTTAGTAAGAATGCCTAAGTAAAAAGGACTTGGTGTCTAAACTCAAAATAGGAATTTAGTGGAAGCATTCCTAGGTGTTTGCAAGTTGTAATGAAGTAACGAAAATGCATTGTAAAAGAGAAGGATCTTTGGAAATTCCCCTTGTAGGATTCGACCTATAGGGTATTTAGGGATATATTTTGTACATTTTATTTTAAATAAAATGTGTTGTAATAAATTGTATAAAGGTGATGAGTTTTGAAGAAAAATAGCATGATTTATGTTGAAAATTCCTAAGGGAATGGTTGATTAAATTAAAGAACACCAACAGTTATAAAGAGGTCTAGACTTGTGTATTGGCATAGGATTGGCAAAAATGCAAAGAAAGGAAAATAAGCAATAAAATGTATGCTTATGAAATAATTATGGTATTGCATCATTTTATTGATGCATTGTAAATTATTCTCTAGGTGTGCCTAGGGATTGAGAAGGATCGGAAATCTCTTGAAGCGATAAAAGTAACTTGTTCCACAAGTAAGCGTATTGGTAAAGCTTCAAGAGGTAAGCTCTATGTTTAAGGAGTCTTTTCCTGCTTGAGTGCTCCACCATGGTTAGTGAACTATGGTTGGACTATATGACTGTGATTTAGATGCTTTGTATAGATGCATTCATATAGAGTTATTTGATAACATGATATGTTTTGCTCTGATGTGACTTCTGTAATTTGATTTCTGTAACAATCTCTGGCCATTGATTGTATAGTACCCGGACGTCCGCTTTGGGGTCCTCCCTCGGGACTGATGGTGTACTCCTCTGATATGTCTGGTTCCGCTTTGGGGTCCTCCCTCGGGAACACGTGCGTTGATTTCCGCTTGGGGTCCTCCCTTGGGAATGACGGCGCACATCTCTGATATGATATGGATATATGCTCTGTTCTGTTATGATATCTGTTATATGTTGTATTTGTATACTCTGTATCTGAATTTCATGCAGGAGTGAGCCAGGGGTATGGAGAATTCTCTATAAACCTGGAGCTTATTGAGATTTGTAATCTCACCCCTCTTTGGGGACACATTTTCAGGGGCCCAGATTTCCGGTGAGTCCTCACTAGGCAGGGACACGACACGTGGCTGAGGCAGTTGACAGACCGGATTTTGAGTGGCTGTAGGCTACTACCTTTTTGGAGTGTTTGATGTATTTTAGTATTTTCGCATTTGATGGATCATGATATTGATCCTTTATTTTGTATATGGCCTGTATATGTTTTGTACATGTCTATCAGTTGATGCATGTACATTTGAGTATTCAGGAACGTTATATGATGATGTAGTATTCAGATAGGTTTATGTTTTGATGGCATGCTGTTAGATTTAGTGGCACGGAGCCATGTTATGCATGCGCCCATGTATGGGTATTTGATTATATTTGGATATCTGGTATTTCTGAATTGATATGTTGTATAAACTGTTTATCAGGAAATGCTTCTGAGTGGGATTGGAAAATCCCCAGTTGTCCGATTTATAGAGGAAACTCTGCCCGATTTTCGTTTACGCCGAGTAAGAATTAAGTTAGAAAAAGAAAAAGTTAGCTCATATTTTTGTAAGTTAAGTCTTCCGCTGTTTCTGTTTGTATCATATGTATGTTAATTGAACCGGCTCGAGACGGGGATGTTACATTTATGGTATCAGAGCAGTTTCTCTAGGAGAGCCTGTGAAATATTGCATGAACTGTTCAGGTTGTTATGTTCTTGAGTTTTTCTTGGAATACTATGATATGCATGTCTGATCACCGAGTGTGAGCGTAGCTAACTCATTCCTTTGTGTGAAATATGCAGAATTATGGTTCGCCCAAGAAGGACTTCTGATCCTCCTATTGACCCGACCGATCCAATATTGGCAGATTTGGCAAGACCCCGACTTAACCCGCGGGGAAATACTTCACAGCCAGATCCAATGA